ACCAAGCCTGCTGTCTAGCATCGTTTGTTGAGCAACACTCGGCCTGCCCTGGAGCATGACACCTTTTGAAAGGGAGATGAAAGCTTGAATTAGGAAAAAATAACATTTGAGCTCATTTACATGAACTGTATTCTGTTTAACTGGCAACACTTTTCTTTTTTACTCTGTTTTCTTGGAATGCATGTCAGAAAACCCGACTTCCTTCAAACTGTTTGCACATGTTACTCACTGGAACCGTATTGATCTCAGTCCCATGTTCCCTGCTTCAGTATTTCTCAGCCAAAGGTTGATTGCATAGAAAGTAGATGGATGGCTGCTTTATTTATTGCAACAAGGACACACAGTCAGGTTCATAATGATGACTGTAAATATTTGTATATCAATAACACCTCATGGCTCTGAGATTTATGAAGCAGTATATCAATGTATATTGGGTCTTGTCAAATCCTGTGTAAGTGCATTGATTGAAATTGTCAACACGTTTGATACATTATTAAGGAAAAAGCTAACAGAATAACTTATGGCTGATTTACATTTTCTATATGCAAGCATAGTCATTTTGAGTGATGGAATACATGTTATTCCCATTTTCTTTTAACCAAGCCTGTGTGACTGCAGTTCTTAGTGGCAACCTCTCCAAAGAAAGAAGATAAACCATTTTTTAAAATATTAATATTGGTTTGTTGTACTAACAGTGTGGCTTTTTTGGCCTTTAAAGGTAGGATAGGTAAGTTTGAGAAACCGGCTCGAGATACACTTTTTGTTATATTCCATGGAATGCTCTTAACATCCCGATAGCAATGAATATCTTAAGTGCTTTGACAAAAAATCCATAAAAAAAAAAAAAATGTCATCTGTGGAAGCCGTAGTACTGTAAAAAGCACGACCAATCATTTTAGCCGGCCCGGCTAAAATAACTGGATGGCCTACCTGCCTGTCAGCCTTCCATCTGTGCACAAACTTATCTCGTGCCCTCATTGGTCATGTGCGCGTTCGTGTGTGTTGGAGGAGGGGCTCTATGAGGAAGTGGCAGATTTTCTCCGGTTGTGTATTTTCAAATTCTAGCGAAACATAATTTTGCTTTTTCCTGTAGTTCTATTTATCAATCTAAATGTGAGTATAGAGTGTTAGACATATCAATTATAGAGATGTCTTCAACTCTCCAATATAATGGAACTAGATTGCTTGTGGTTCCCAAAGTACCAAATAATACATTTTACAAACTCAACACCAATGTTTCTTTCCAGAAATCATGATCTACTATAGTTACAAGAGAGTCCAAAGACCTTGTTGTTAGCAGTTAGATGAAGAAACAATGTATTTCTTCTGAACTTCACACACCAACCGTATCAAAGCGCAGGAGGAAGCATGTATCGACACACAACAATATATTCTCTTGATCTATCCTGAGCTAACGTCTCTCAGCTGAGGATGACGCCATTAATGTTTACATCTGGCGTTGTAGCAAGCCTTTCGTCCATAGATGCACGGTGATTTCTAGAAAGATACATTACTGTCGAGTTTTTCAAATATACCTTTTTGAGCCTTGGCGCACCAATAGTGCCATTCAGTTCCTAACCCTAACCGAAGGCTGATATCAACAATACTTGCACCAAAGCACAACTGTTGAGACAACAAAGAATATGCCTTTTTGATATTGAGGTAAATTCTCCCTTTAGAGATGTTTGGACTGGATGTCTTCCCATTTCACAGAGCATGCAACAGTCAACAGCTGTTCAATGTGATACACAATGAGAAAGTAAGGCTAGTAATAATGATGTTAAATGCCTGAAGCAGTGACATCAAGGTCTCATCTAATTTAAGGGGCTCTATTGTGCTTTTGGGGGATTTCCTTTTCCTTTATTGTGCTCGATTGGACTCCTTTGTTTACTTTGTAACATAGTGACATCTCTACATAGCACTCGCTTCTATTGGCTAGCGCTCCAACACATTGTATAATAGGCTATGGGGAGAGACATCTTTAAGTGGTTGACCAATCACAACAGAGCCGGCCAGCTAACCAATCAGAGCAGACTGGGCTCTGGTTTCAGACAAAGGGTGAAAAGAGGAGCTGCAGCACAGGTATGAGAAAAATAAAGAGCTTTTTGAACATTAAAGCATGGAGACATGTCACAGTAGAGACAGCAAATACAAATATGAACCTGACATTGAGCATAATAAGGGCTTCTTTAAAACAAAGTTTTTTCCACCATACGGTCACCTCTTATTCCTCACACATACAAAAAGAAGAAATGTGCTGGTAACTCAGGGTTCTTTGGCTCATGAGCATCACTGCCAGTGTAAAAGACTTATACGATGCGGATGTTGACTTCACTTTGTTTTCAGCTACAACCAATATTAAGACGGCTCTTTTAAAGTGAGCGCATCACAAACAGAGTGTAGAGGGATGGTCACAGGTTGCAGCATTATTAGTGCAGCCTCCTATTTGAACACTAACTTGGAGTGTATGTTCACATCCACTCATTTGTTTACTCCTCCTGTAATGATCAGCGCTGCACAGAGGCACTGAAAACACCGATTCCGAAAAGTGTTTGATCTCCTCTCTGTTCAGTGGCAATAAAAGGAGGGGGGGGGGGGGGGGGGGGTGTGTTGAATTTCAGAAAAGCACAATGAGAGCCTTTTAAGTATGACACAGCTGCAAACACTACATGTGTGAATGCTCGAGAGGCCTGCACCCCAATCATATGGTTTCCTTTCCCTCATTGTGCTGGTGTTTTCAGGCTGTATGCATGTATTTTTCATGAGAGGTCATTCAATTTTTCTGTCAATTGCCAGACTGCAACTGCCTTGTATAATTACCAATAATGACAGTGTTAGGATGCAGTCGCTAGGCAACATCTAAAGAGTGCAGACATAAGGATGAAGGAGATTGTGTACCGCTATAGAAAGGGTTTATTCCAAGGTTTTATGCGCTGCATTATCATGGGAGTGTTTGGTCAAATCGTGTTTATGGGCTTCTCAAAATCTCTGTCATCTCTCTCATGAATACTGAGGGTGGTGTGGGCGTAGGCACATGCACAAGCACTCACAATGAATGGATTTAATAGTAAGTATTTGGTTTGATTTGGTTCAAGGACATGTAGGTTATTGAATATTTAATGTATTCAGTTTGAGTTAGTGTTGATTATTCAAGCACACATCTGTGGTGGTAATAATTCAAAATAAAATAAATATAGATGATTAAGGGATTGTGCAAAAATGATAAGTGTAGTAAGGGGGACTTTACTTTATGTTTTACCTTTATTATACATTTGTACAACTCTTCCCTAGATTCGAGTCTTAAAATAATGTTTAGATATGAAACAATACAACAATCTTTTCAATTCAATGTTCCCTTACCATAGATGTTAAGTAAAACATGTACACATATCCTTATTTGTAACATATGCCTTCATTTTTTTTTAAGTAATACAAATATTTTTTACTTGAACATGAGAAATGTGGCACTGGTCTATTTTAATTATTTTATTAGGAAGAATATATTATATATTTTTTTTTTTCCTCTAATGTCTGGAAGAGCTTAATAATAAATTGTCAAATCATATTTAAAAAAAATGTTTTGTGAGTTGAGATTGTTTTTTCTTTCTTTCTGTCGTTATCAGGATCCCCATTGGCACTAGAAAGAGCATTGGCTAAATGTATTAAATATGATATAGCCTCATATAAATTGTAGTTCCTTAATCGAATAAACCCAGCATCGGATCGAAGCAGAATGTGATATTGTCATATATCATATCGTGCTAAATATTGGAAAGATATCATAATGATTAAACTTGTAATTTGTACCTAACAACAGTACAACTCCTTTAAATACATAGCAAAAAAAAGGTATGCAAAATTATGTATGACACCTAATGAAACATGAGGTACCACAACGTGAAGATTGAATATCTTTATAGCAGTAAAGAGTGAAATAAGATTTTTTTTTATTTAACCTTTATTTAACCAGATAAAAACATTGAGATAAAATCTCATTTTCAATGCTGACCTGGCCAAGAAGGCAGCAACGTTACACATAACACATAACACAAACAGTATAGCGGTATATAGTTGAACACCAGCTCTGTGGCTGTGGACAGGCTTAAGCATTGTAATATCTCTGTTCCACCAAGGGCCCAAATAACAAAACTAAATATAAATTACACCTGGTGTCCTGCCTAATATGATATAATATATGGTTGTTGACAATTCATCACAGGTAATACAATTAAAAGATTCTGAGTCGCATAACCAGGCATGTAACCAGGTGCGTTTAGGATCAGCAAATAAGCCCCTCAGACAGGTGTGCCAAACAGCGCGCGGCAAATATTAGAATCTGAGCTAATTACTGTCGGAAAATGTCTAGTGACGTGCGGGAGAGGAACACAGTGATACATGCAAATGACGCTTCAATGTCTTGTTGTTCGGCTGAAGGACAGGTGGAAATGTGTGTGTGTTTAGGAAAAAAGAAACCCCAAAAAGATGTGTGAAGCAGACAAAGTCAACCTTTTCCATTACAATGATTTGCAGGCGTTGTGGCAGCACGTGATGTCACATGGTAGCTCATAAACGTGACTAATAATTTTTCTCATTTAGATTTCATTTTAAACGCTGTTTGATTTATGTTTTCTCATATAAGAAGACACACAATATGATTTATGTCCCTTAATAAAAAAAAGACCAATAATATGATACGTTTGAAAGCCACATGCTGTTGGATATAAAAATGTCAGTATCAGTTTGAGATGGGGCAGTGACCATCAATCACAGAACTAAAAAATATAAGATATATATGAGAAGACAGGTTAAGCAGGGTGCCGTACTACAAAAAAAGGAATATTAAGGAAATCAAATATCAATTGGTCGAACATTTTATTTCACTTCTGCATTTACCTGTTAAGCTATGACATTTGTTGTTATCGTTTTAAGCTGTTTTCAAGCTTTTATCAGTGAACACTGTATGACATAATCTCCCTTTCCCTCTTCTGTCTTTTCTACAGGACCCCTCTGTTTTAACAGATATGGCTGCTGCACTGTGGAAGATTAAATCACTGCACATGGGCTTGTGGATCTTCTTCCTGCTCGTCAACCTCCTTCCTGCAGCCAGGTACGACAACAGCCTATTGTAGTTGCAAGTTGCAACACAGTCTCACTCCCTGATAGTCCAATAGCGACGCTTGGTCAGGGTCCTTTGGCGTGCAGTTGTGACGCACCGAGTCTCCTTCAGCTTCATAAACGGATGCAACGAGCTTTCAACTGATTGCAATGTATTCCCATCGGCGGCGGTATTTGACGCTCAAGGAAGCACCGCATCGGTCCATGTCGGCGGCAGTTAAAGGCAATGTGAGCGTCCATTCCCATTGGATAACGGAGAATTTTACACCCGGAAGTAAGTATTCTCCTTACTGTCGATTGATTTTACAGTGATATCTGCACTACTCATCAACTCAAAAATAGTTTCCGGTCTATTCTGAGACCAAATCACTGTAGATAAATAAAGAACTGAGCCAGTTTCAGTGCAATATTTAATGCAACTGAACCATTTATTACAATGCATTTATGTGATGACTTTCAAAGAGTAAAGCAAGCACTAGCTGAATAAAGTATGATTTTATCTTTTACGAAACGTTTTTTTCATATGGAATACAATCGGAGGTCAACCAATCACAGAGCTTGAGGACTAATCACGGGGTTTGTCGAGCAAAGCGCATGGTGTAGTCTCAAACAATAGCTGAGGATTATGGGTCTTCGGCCATCCTAAACTCCGATACAACTATTTGTTTCTCAGAGTCGAAGGGGAAAAACACAAAAGCATTGCACACAATTTAAACCAATCAATGTTGTGTAATTAACAAGGATAATCTGGTGTTTTTCAGTTGATGAGTAGTGCAGATATCACTGTAAAATCAATCGACAGTAAGGAGAATACTTACTTCCGGGTGTAAAATTCTCCGTTATCCAATGGGAATGGACGCTCACATTGCCTTTAACTGCCGCCGACATGGACCGATGCGGTGCTTCCTTGAGCGTCAAATACCGCCGCCGATGGGAATACATTGCAATCAGTTGAAAGCTCTTTGCGTCCGTTTATGAAGCTGAAGGAGCCTCGGAGCGTCACAACTGCACGCCAAAGGACCCTGACCAAGCGTCGCTATTGGACTATCAGGGAGTGAGACTGTGTTAGTTCACCTCTCAATCCCCCCCCCCCCCCCCCCGACTCTGTCCCTCCAGCTGATTTTCTTGTGATGTGCTTTGTATAATACTTTTAATAATCAGTCTCACTGCTGCAGCAGACATAGTCTAACAAACGCCATCAGAAGTTAAATCTATACTGTAAGCACAAAATCAAGAGAAGTTTTTTTTCCGTTTTTACACAGAGAGATAGCCTTATCTGTGACTTTGGCATATTTAATTATCCAAACCTCTTTATTGATCACAATTGGCTGTGAAAATCTTTAGTATTGAATGATCCATTCAATGCAAAAGGTTTATCCATTATTTACTGAAGTCTCAGGATTTGAGACTTCCTGGACCTCACTGTGACTTTCACAGTTTTGGACAAGGTTTAAAAATAGATCTCATCCCACCTTGTCATGATTAGGCCCAAAAAGAGCAAACACAGAGTGAGCTCATGCTCTCATGGAAATGTAACTCGTACTCTGCACCGGTCTGAATTTCACTGACTGCTGAATTAATGTGCATTGTGCAGCACACCACAGCCCTGACTTCACAGCATGTCTCCCCCCCCCCTGCATCCCGTGCACATTTCTTAGTTTGTGTGCTAGTCATCAAATAAATATATACAGGACAAATCTCTGGAATGTATAGAAGTCATTCTAACCACACTGCTTGTAATTTCAAATGAAGAGATTACATAGGTTGACATGTTGGCATTGATAAGGTGTTATGTTATGGTGGGTAGTGTAAATCACTTAAAGATTTTGCACGCTGTGAAAGGCGAACCTGGAAGAAGCAGGCAGGGAGAGAAATCAGAAGAGTGTGACAGGGATTAGCCCAGATGTCTTTGTCGTTGTGCCACTTGGCTCTCCTAGCTTGTTAGGCACACACAGAGTTCAAATGACATACATTAAATAGAAATGTGTGGTCGGAACACCATTGGTCCGGTACTGTTTTTCATGGTATGGGCTGGACACCTTGGTAGCATTGAAGGTAAGTCCTAATGATACAGCGATAAGCTAGCCACATAGCTCGCTATCAACAGTTTGTGGGAAACCCTTTCTGTTCCAACTGAGGGTGTAGGAAAATCATTCCTAGCATTCGGTGACATTTCAGCTAGGGTATTCAAAAAAAAAAAAAAAAATGTATTTAATCTGAATGATGGCTTGTTAAAGTATAAGAAAAATATGTTGGTCAAGCTCAGGATATTATGTTTAAAACATTTATTTTACCATCCCCAGTCATCCCCTGTTACTGTGAAAAATAGTAACAGGGTGGACATGTTATGCTAAACTTGGCTATTGGTACATGTGTGATGATAATCAAGCTAGCACTTGGTGACAACAGAAACATATATTTGACAGATATATTCACCATATTTTCTAAATGTAAAATAAATGATCAGTTCCACTAAAAATGAGCATAACAGGGTGGACATGTTATGCTTTACCGCAACAGTTAAGTTCTTTAAAACATTAAAAAAACGTTGAAGGAAGAACGCATTCACTCTGTTTCTTGAAGATGATTCTCCCACTCAAAATGTATCCTTCTTCTTCTTGAGTCATACCAATAGTAGAATAGTAAAGGGGCGTGTCCAGAGGGATTCAAATCAGAGTATCAGGGGGGACATTCAAACAGGGGACACACACTTTAAAAAAAACTTTAAACAATAAAAATGAATTAATAACAAACATTTACATTTGGTGAGGAATATTGGCAGAAGGGTTATACAACAGTGACAAAAATGTAACATTTGTTTGTATTCTCTTAAGGATTCTTAAGAGAATTCTCTAACCCTCTCTCTTTGATTTCTTTTTTTACATCTGTTACAGAAGTTGAGCAAACATGATTTGGGACACAGCAATTTGGCCTACTTGTGTGTATCAGAGTAATTATTTAGAATTTAGAATATCCTGGGTAAATATAAATAACATTGTTGTTTTATGGTAGAGGGGTATACACATTTAAAACCAAGCTTTTAAAAAATAAGCATTAGAAATGTTAAATACAAAATATATGATATAATGTGGTGGGGACCTAAATGGCACTGAATGCTAGGAATGACTGATACATTTGACTGTATTTTGTCTTGGGATAATGTATATTCTCAAAAGATTTTTCATTTATAGTTTGCAAGCCAAGATTTGTGTTTGAGGTTTAGTTATTATGTTATACAATGACAGTTTTCAAGAAAACACTAGCTTAGAACACAACATATCCTCACATGCTTAGTATTGGCAGATTTTTGCCAATACCCTGCCATAGTTTCAACATAACAATGCACAGTTGTCTTGGTTTGGTGGTGAAGAAAGGCTTGCACAGAGCCTTGACTTCAACCCCATCCAACTCCTTTGGGATGGATCCAAACGCTGACTTTGAGCCCGGCCTCATTACCCACCATCAGTGGCCGACCTCACTGGTGACCTTGGGGCTGAACAGGATTCTCCCTGAAGCCTGCTTCCAACTTTTTTTGGGAAGCTTTCCCAGAAGGGTAGAGGGTGATGCAGCATATTAATGCCCCACTGTTTTTGGAACGAGATGTTATGTTTAGGTGTCCACATCTATCTGGATCAGAAGTTTTCAAACTGAGGTGTGTGAAATAAGGAAGGAAGGAAGAAGAGGGCTGCAGTCAGTTTAAAGAAGATATGCCTTCGTCCTAGAGTCGATCAAACAAGCAACTCAGCACATACATTCAATGTGACGAGCACTTTCTGAAAATATCATTGTTACCGACAAATCCTTATCACTTTGAGAAAAATGACATCTTTAAGTTTTCTTAAGTGTGAACGTAAACTAGTAATAGTTGTCCATACATCCAAAAGCTAACAGCTAATTCGAACAACATCAAGAGTACCAATCTTTCATTCTAACTTGATGCATGTGTGAATAAAACCCACAGAACGTCAAACATAAAGGATATATAAATATATACATCATACCTAACAAATTGTTTATTGATTTGTGTCTCTTTTATAGGAACAATTAATTTACAACATCCAATACGAAGGTTTATCTGAAACAAGCTCAAATACCATAATGAACTTAATCCATCAATTATTATTATTGTTATTATTGTAATTTAAATAAAATGTTATACCCGGAAAATCAAATACAGTGAAACTAAATCACAGGTTTGAAGGGATTTATGTGGAGGGAAGTCCAGTGACAGGTGATAAAACTGTGTGCACGCCAGAAGTAAAGGGCGTTGTTTATGGTGAAGCTGGAGTGAACGAGGACATCCCAACTCATACCTGAGGACTCCTCTGTCCTTGCGTCTCTTCCTCGTGTCTTAGCTCCGCCTCCGCAAGACGCGAGTGAGGGAAAGGAGGAGGCAAAATTATCATTTGGGATGAACCTTGAATTGTTGGTCAAGACATTTTGAGGTTATATAAACTAAAATGTACACCAAACATGTAGTATCGCGTGACAACAGACACACCTACTGTTCTAACTTCTACTTTCACATTTGCATTTACAGATAACATTTCTAAAGAGAACATTTATATTTTCATAGTTAAAACTGCATTAGTACTTTAAGCCTGACCTTGGTTTTGGTTTCGCGGTATGCGTGAGGCCGGAGAAGATTGATGATAGAATTATTGGCATTAGCATTCAGGATGTTAATGATCATGGAAAGTCATTAGATGTGATGAGAGCAGCAATTAATAATGGAAATGTATAAAGTGTTGACACATTCAGACACAGAAGATTGTCATCACACCATTTCCAGCAGGGCCTGATCGGTAAATGCAATTCATTATGCATGAACCTAACACAGGCTTTTCACAAATGTTAATCTTTTTGGAATTACTTGAGACATGAGGTAGTGCACATATGCAAAACACTGGCACAGCAGTCTTCACTTCACACATGTATTCAATTTAACCTGTACTAAATCAGAGTTCATTTGAGGGAAAGACATTATTGTGC